GACAGCGCTAATAATTCCTACATTTCCTTTCAATAGGTCAATGTCCCAATATGAAGTCATTATTTTACATCAAAAGTGGGTTTTACCTTCAAAACCATAAATCTCTCGGCTTGTTAGCTGATAGTGAGACAGCTTGTCGCATTAAGTGTTACATTGTTGACGACTGCATGTCATATAACTACAATTCAGGCACCAAGGCCTGTGAGGTGAATGATTCTGATGACATTCAGCACCCAAAAGACCTTATTCAAAGACATGGATACATGTATGTCGGCACAGAGGTAAGACCCACAATACCATTCACTCATAATTCTAGGAGGGACGAAGGGTAAGCGAGAGCCTCGTCATGGGGGAGGGTGAAGAGAAAGGGGCTTCCTAGATACAAAATTCTCACATGACGTCACAATGACGTTAAAGTGCATATAAAGGAATTTTTTGTGCTTCTTAAAGATAGTTACCATCATTAAATATGGTTTGAGGAAAAGAAATTCAAAAATCGAAATAGCGGTGTGTATTTGAGGCGATTCGAGTTCAAAAATGGCCTCCTGTGCTTTTTGTATCGGGAGAGTCCTAGAGAGACTGGAGACAATAAACGTGTGACGTAGCTTCAGTCAGATTAGTCTCGAAGTTTGCAGAGAAATACTAGCAAAATTCCGTCATTAAGGTTTTTTCACGAATTAATATTCGAATGAATTATGTTACCAAGTTCTCATTATAGCAACGATGCGCGCCAAAAAAACATCTGACGGATGCTACGTTACGCTTCTTGTAACCAGTCCCCCTAGGACTCTCGCTATAGAAAACACAGGAAGCCATTTTCTGAAGTTAATCGCCTCAAATACACCCCACTATTTTGATTTTTGAATTTCTTTTCTTCAAACCATATTTAATGATTGGTACACTTTCCTTAGAAAACACAAAAAAATTCCTTTATATGCACTTTAAAGCTGCCTTAAATTTTTKAGACTCAAAAGCAAGAAAAATACTAAAAAAGTTAATTTTCTAAACCTCAAAGTTTAGTTTATAAAGAAGTGCATAACCCTCCAGGTTGTGCACTTCTGGTTTAAATAAATCTCTTTATCGGTTAGGAGTGATTAACGAATTTTCCTCAAATTGATTTGTCATTTGAAAGCAGCATCCTGTAGCAGCATTCCTCTGCTAAATGCACCACTCATTCTGTTTCCAATCTCTCTTCCAAAAGTCAGCCGTATGATCTTCAGCAGATATTCCAAGAAGCATTACGGCAAACTGCATTTCGATCTGTTCTGACTTTCGAGCGAGGGCGCATTTTCTTTTCATGTTCTAATAATATGTTTTTGTCATGTGACTCGCTGCCCTCGGTCAGGGCTATGACTTTTACCAGGATCAATTACTAGGATCTTTTGTGGTCAAAGCGTTTTTATAGACGTGTATATTTTATTTTTTTTTCGACCAATCAGCAATCACTTCCGGTGTTATGCGTGGAAAATTAAAATATTATGATAAAGAAACGTGGCGGATGATAGTGAAAGCGAGTTTTCTTCTAGTCTTTCTGAAAAAGGTAATGAAAATTAGTGAGCTACTGCTCAAGAGACGACTGAAGGAAAATCTAAAAATAGACAGGTCAATGAAAACGGCGTGACACACCTGTATAAGGATATGGATGCTCATAGTGAACGGCTTGCCAAAGATTTTCTATTCTCCAACTCAGTCAATAAGTACATATTTTATTTTTATATGCTGTATTACTTAACTTATTCAACAGAACGACTGTAAAAGCAAACCTTGCCCAGTGAACATCACTTGCAAAGCTAGTGTGAGGATTAAAGGACAACACAAGTGTATCAACAAAGGTAAAAAGTCTATCCAGGCAGGCACTTAAGTTGTGTAACATTACTCGTCAAAGTTGACAAATTTCCTCGACTAACTCACGAAACATACTGAATTTTGACAGATCTTGATCACAGCAATTAAGCAGTTCAGAAAGACCAGTAGAACAACAGATACAAAACTATTTCATTTTTTTTTACTTCACTCTAAACCTGTGAAACCAAATCTAATACTAGTAAAGGTATTATGGTCTAATCAAACACAAAAGAAAACAATGCAATAAGAGTGTGCTGAGGTTTATTAGTATAATATCTATTTCATGTTTGGTTATTGTTTTATTTCACTTTTAGTACTTTTTCGTGCTTTCAGTTTTTATATCAAAGATGGCGAATGGTAGAAAATCGCGCAAATGCACGTGGGGCTTAAACCGTTGATTCCTAATRTAACCGGCCTTGAGGATGGGCTATTATTTTGGAGAAGTAGAACTGGCATAAACTTGCATCATTATTTTTAATATCATTTTATTTATGATTTTTCTTCAGAGCAAAAGTACTGTAATAAGTCTCTTGGAATGGAAGATGGACGAATAATAGACGACAACATCAAAGCCTTCTCTCATGTGACCAGTAGTTGTGGCTTAGTTCCCTGTTACCCATATAACGGTCGTCTAAATGGTAAGGTAAACGGGTGGATAGCCCAAGGTAACAGTTTTAATGAATGGCTTCAAGTAAACCTGCTTGATATAACGGAGGTCACATCAATTGCTACGCAAGGTGTCACGATTTCATCTAATGTCTTCTATGTAAAAAGTTACAAACTAAAGTATAGAGATAACGAAGATTCGCCATTTCAAGAACACAGTACTACGTTTGTTGGCAACATAGACGCAAACAGTGTTGTCAAGAATGCGATAAACCCACCCATTGTCGCTAGATATGTTCGTGTTCATTCTTTWKMTTRSCAARRGSYTRTTGCTCTGCGAATTGAATTGTACGGATGTGTGTTAAATTAAACACTTGACACGCCATATATAACTATCTAAGAAATAAGCCAAATACTGTGATACTGCAAATTGTATTTCAAGACCGAAATGCATTGTTGTTATTGGATTACATAAGTGGCTATAAAAAAAAAATGCACAACTAGTTATATGTATTTTTATATAATGACCGAACAAGTCTTGAAGCCAAACTCAGGATGGTGTCAGGAAAGTGTATCCTATYATTTACACACTCTAATCAGCCAATCAGCGAGCAGGAATTCACTYTGCAATTGTAAAATTTATAAAAAGTAAATTTTCTTTCAATCGAAAATGCAGTCACTTTACAACAGTGAAATCTCTGGCTCTTTAGCGGTGACGAGACGATAAAMAATGTATTTCGGTATTGGAATTCACAGTCTTATATTAAGTACTCGAATTTTATTGAAACATTAGTTTTCTCTTCAATCGACGTGACTATGGTCTATTATGAATATACCATCTTTCAGTAGCCAATGAGAATGCTGGGTTTGTGAAAGGTCATAGTTTGATGGCTACCAATGTTGATTAGACAATAGAAAACAAAGAAATTCTCATAATTGAGTACTACATTTTTTAAGAAACCAAGACTATATGTCCAGAAATTTTTTAAAAGAAAACGATGTGTGTTTTCGTGAAAATATCATGATTATTTGCCCTAAAAAAAGTGCCAGGACATATTTAAACTGTGTTATTCTAGTTAAATAGAAAAAAAAGTTTTTTGATNGAGAAGACAAAAAGCAAAATCCGCCATGTTCTGTCCCAAACATATCCTACAATGCATTGCGTATACGGTACATGACGTAAAAGCTTCAGAGGTCTATTTGGAGCAAAGCTCGTGCATTTGCATCAAAATGAGACAGGAGTGGAGGCTGCGCATTTATAAATCCTYTTTTCACACCTAAGACGGTCATTGACGTATCTATCGTCACAACAGAGCTAAACCGCTGTCTCGCTTTGAAGCAAAGGCTCGGTTACCTTTCAAGATGGCGCTGRGAACTGTAAATTRGAGTCTTATTGGTGGAAATTGTATTGATTTATTATATATATTAAACAAAAGATTCTCTATCCATTGATTCAATGACTGACTCRAGACCAAACACATCRCCCAACCGACCAATCGCGTAGTCGGAAATTGTCCACGTGATTGAAGATAAAGAAAATCTCTTAATGTCATATGTTATTAACGACTGTTGATCCTGCTCTTTATGTATTACCACTGGCCGGTAAATAATGCTGTTATCTCTACTTGGCTTTTCTTCTGTTGATGACGTTTTTGTGACGTGTGAAGGACCGCTGACCGCTATTTGCTCGGGCTCATGTGGCTTGATGTATAATGGGATAAGTGATAATGTGCATGTACCAATGGCCATGACTCCGCCAGCCAGGAAAAACGCATTTTCATAAGAACCTGAGATTTGAAACAGTTGCCCTGAAAGAAAAAAAACAATTGGCACCTGGTGAATAAAGGTAACTCAATCCAATTCTGTTTTCTTTTTTTTATTTTCTTTTTTCTTTTTGAATACGTTTCATTGGAAAAAGGCGATGTTTTCTCTCTGCTATACCTGAATCCAATTCTGTTTCTTTTCTTTTTCTTTTTTGCCTTACAGGATTCATCAGAAAAAGGTTTGATGTTTTCTCTTTGCTAAGTTGAGACTTGTCTAAAAAAAAACTATGTCTTTGTATTGGTCCTGCTCATTCCATTGGTCTAGTTGGCCATTATTTTGCCATAGTTGAATGATTTGTTTTGGTGCTGAGAACTCTAGCTTCGATCGATATCAAACAATTGCTAACATTCGCGTGGGCTACCTGTGTCTTTTGTGGGATTCCTTAATTTTAAGGATGGGAGGGGACTAGGACAAAATTATAATGGCCGACATGTTGAAAAGCGATTTCTCTGCAAATTCTGTAAGTTTCAGCCATTTTAAAGCACTAAAAGGTGGAAAAAACTTGAAAAAAACTTTCTATCGTACTTCCTTATAAGGTAAGATTACCACATATAGTCAGCAAAAGTTTGGCAAACGAATGAATGTTTCTCTGAGGCAATTGTTTGATGATTTTGTGACTCGTCACAAAGGGAATTTAATATTTTCCTGTGAAACTTTCATAACTTTCAGCCTAGGTATCTGCCGTTTCAGTATTTTCTTTTTTCGACTATGCCTTCCTACGATAATACGCTAACTAGCGGTGGTGACTTATAAAAGTTTCATTCAATACCTGCTAGAGGGGGMCCAAATATCATTGGAATAGCAATGACCCCATATAGGTTCCCCAAGGCTTGGATTAGTTTGTTCGGTCCTACTATGTCAGCGGTTGATACAGCTATTAAYAAGACAAAGCAACCATCAAACGCTCCAAACATTACGACGTATACGATGAGCCCTTCATACGAAATGGCCAGCGGACATAGAGTAGTTGTCACAGCCATCATAAGAAAACAAATCTAAAAAAGAAAACAAGACAATTATTATTCAGTACATATATAGTAGCAAAACTTCTACCAAACTGTTGTAATTATTGTTGGTAAGCGGTTACACGGACAGCAGCTTGGGATTCCTGTGTTATGTTAGGRGCCGCCATATTGAATAAAGTCGGATTTTAGTCGAGTCATTTTGGTTCCTTTCTAAGCTTAMAACTCCGCTCAATATCCAAAATGGTAACTTTTAAATGTAGTAAAATGGTTGAAACTAGAGGTAAACTAGTGTGAGCTGCGTCGGTGTTTCTAAAGAAATATTTGTTTAAAAAGATTTCAATTTATCACCGTAAAAAAGTAGGTGATATATACAGCTTACAGACGTTTCGGATGTTAATCCTTCGTCAGAGTAAATAGATGAAACTAGGCTAAGTGTGAGTTTGTAAAATGAGAGGTGCAAAGAAAGTAGACCAATTTATTTTTGATTGTACCTTAAAGAAGAACTCCACTTTACCTTAACCCTATAGTTATTTGATTAATCGAAGTTCCTTCTTCAAGCTTACTAAGGGATTTTGGCGCATCTTCAAAGACAAGAGAGAAATGTGCGAAGGAACTTTTCGATTAATCAATTAACTATAGCTTAAGTTTAAGTGGAGTTCTCTTGCTTACCTGAAGTACATAAAACCGATTTACTCCTGGATGATTTAAGAAAATACCGAATAAAACTCGGGAAACCGTCGATGCAATCGATAAATATCCGATGAGTAACGAAGCTAGTTGTGGCTTTATTCCAAGATTAATGGCATGGTTTGGCTGCAAAAAAATCAAAATAGTTAATTTACAAATAAACCCACCTTGCATGTGACATCAAAACAGCTTCATCTGGAGGACAAAGCAAAAAGTTTTGCGCACTCTTGGGAAGTAGAATCTATTGTTTTGACCATCAGTTGAAGATGCACGGAAATAATCAAAACTGACAGAGAGCTCTCCAACAACACTGTAGAGGGCTGCGGGGTCATAAGTGACCCGTTTATTTTGTGGAAGATTGCGAATAACCGAAACACAATGAAAGCACGAGAAAATGTTGTTAGTACAATAGCACTAACAATCTGCATTTTCCCCGAGTTAAGGCAAACACTGTATTCCCAGAAGACATAAACCTTAGGTCTTAAGGTGATACAGGGTTAGTCTTACAGCAGAAATCGTTGCATCGCGACCTCTTTGTTTTGAAGTTTGTCTGGATTTTGTTCTCTCTTTCAATCTGATGGGCGGAGCTTTTCGAAAACTCGTTCAATCATTGGCTGATTAGTATCAAGTCGCCCCCAAGTCGCAGAAAAACCTAAATCCCAAGTATTTTCTTTGAACATCGAAGTCGCGATGCAGCGGTTTCTGCTGTAACTCGAAGAAAATGTAAATTTTCAAGGCTATTGTAATAAGGATATTTTCTCGTGCTCTCTTTTGTGTTTGGTAAGGTTTTTGCGCAAGGGAATCTGCTGTCGAATAAAGCAGCGGTTGTTCGCTTTGAATTCGAAAATAAGTGTATTGGAAGTAATATATATGTAATCAGTGACATGCCTTAAGCGACGTTTACACGAGCAATTTTTCCTTGACAAGTTTTCTTTGACAAGGAAAAATTGCTCGTGTAAATGGGGTAAAATGGACAATTTTTCCTTGTCAAGGAAAAGCCAACATGTTCCGCTTTTCCTTGACAAGGAAAAATTGTCAAGGACGAAATTTGCTCGTGTAAATGGACAAGAAGGAAAATGTGGCAAAGAAAAATTGCCAAGGAAAACTTTTTGACCATTCACACGGGCAATTTTTCCATGTCAAGGAAAACTTGTTCTTCGTTTACACGAGCAAAGAAACATTGTCAAGGAGGAATTGTCAAGGAAAACTTGTTGACCATTTACACGGATAATTTTGCCTTGTCAAGAAACTTGTCAAGGAAAAATTGCTCGTGTAAACGGCGCTTTAGAATAGTTTTAACTAGTTGCAGGTCACTGAAATACACAAAAATGTATATAAGATTCTATAATAAAGCTTGATAAAGATAGAANATCAATTAACTATAGCTTAAGTTTAAGCGGAGTTATCTTGCTTACCTGAAGAACATAAAACCGATTTACTCCTGGATGATTTAAGAAAATACCGAATAAAACTCGGGAAACCGTCGATGAAATCGATAAATATCCGATGAGTAACGAAGCTAGTTGTGGCTTTATTCCAAGATTAATGGCATGGTTTGGCTGCAACAAAATCAACATAGTTAATAAACAAATAAACCCATCTTGCATGTGACATCAAAACAGCTTCATTTTGAGGACAAATTAAAAAGTTTTGCGCACTCTTGGGAAGTAGAATCTATTGTTTTGACCATCAGTTCAAGATGCACGGAAATAATCAAAACTTACAGAGAGCTCTCCCAAAAACACTGTAGAGGGCTGCGGGGTCATAAGTGACCCGTTTATTTTGTGAAAGATTGCAAATAACCGAAACACAAAGAAAGCAAAATAATAGCACTAACAATCTGCATTTTCCCCGAGTTGAGGCAAACACTGTATTCCCAGAAGACATAAACCTTAAGTCTTAAGGGTGTACTGACGTATCCGTTTCTAGACGACCTGGTTGCTATGCTAGGCGATGCTAGCCAATCGGAGAAGCGGGCGCGCGCGTTTTCATGGCGGGAAAATGTTTACTTCCGGTGTAAAGGTTTTTGTTTACATAAAATGTATGGTATCATTTAAAAAATATAATCTTCGGTGCGAAACATCAAATTGACGTATTTTTTCAATATTTATGTTCTCCACAGCCTCCTCTTTATAACCAAGCATGGGTTTGGCGAAAAATTAAAAAATACGAAAGTTATTGGCATTTTTCGCTTATTTGTGGCATGGAAAAAATCATAAAAATCTTATTTGGCAATCATTCTAAAAACGCATGCTTGGCTTTACGGACTTAAATCTAAAGATTAATTTCATCCATTTTAAATCGTTTAATATACTTTGCTTGATGAAATTATAGCATTTTTTCGTATTAATGACGTCACGCGATGACGTCATACAATGACGTCATAGAATGTGTTATTTTTGTTTGGGAAGGCTTAATACTTAATACGAAAGCGATTTTACTTTTGTTTGTCATTTTAGAGAACTACTGAATTTGCCTAGCAACGTATATGTCAGTACACCCTTAAGGGAATACAGGGTTAGGTTAGTCTTAACTCGAAGAAAATGTAAATTTTCAAGGCTATTGTAATAAGGATGTTTTCTCGTGCTTATTTCTTTTGTGTTTGGTAAGGTTTTTGCGCAAGGGAATCTGCTGTCGAATAAAGCAGCGGCTGTTCGCTTTGAATTCGAAAATAAGTGTATTGGAAGTAAATATATATGTAATCAGTGACCTACCTTAAGCGACGTTTTACACGAGCAATTTTTCCTTGACAAGTTTTCCTTGACAAGGAAAAATTGCTCGTGTAAATGGGGTAAAATGGACAATTTTTCCTTGTCAAGGAAAAGCCAACATGTTCCGCTTTTCCTTGACAAGGAAAAATTGTCAAGGACGAAATTTGCTCGTGTAAATGGACAACAAGGGAAATGTGGCAAGGAAAAATTGTCAAGGACGAAATTTGCTCGTGTAAATGGACAAGAAGGAAAATGTGGCAAAGAAAAATTGCCAAGGAAAACTTTTTGACCATTCACACGGGCAATTTTTCCATGTCAAGGAAAACTTGTTCTTCGTTTACACGAGCAAAGAAACATTGTCAAGGAGGAATTGTCAAGGAAAACTTGTTGACCATTTACACGGATAATTTTGCCTTGTCAAGAAACTTGTCAAGGAAAAATTGCTCGTGTAAACGGCGCTYTAGAATAGTTTTAACTAGTTGCAGGTCACTGAAATACACAAAAATGTATATAAGATTCTATAATAAAGCTTGATAAAGATAGAAAAAGTGGAGTATTATATCATTCTATTCTACTTACCAAATGAATAAACGGAACAAAATATCCTATAAAGAGCATGGACATCGACATMACCCATACRACAAAAGCACTATCCCTCCATACAGAAACATCTATTAATTTTTGCYTTGGTTGCTCTTCTKCCTCARAAATCTTGCTTCTTATCGGTCGATAGAACAATGAAGATATAAACAAAATTACTGTAGCTCCACTCATAATTCTTAGCAATATTCTCCATCCAAATGATGTTACTAGTACATGATATAAAGGACCTATAGCTAAGGTGCCAACACCACTACCAGCRGTGACAATACCGTTAGCTGTTGACAAATGTCGTCTGAAATATTGACCTGAAGTAAAATGACAAACAAAGAATTCAATATTGAAGGTGTTTAAATACTTCACTTTGACTTTATTTTATTTCCTTATTTGTTTTTCTATCATCTTTTCTTCCTACTCAGCTCTCCTTCCTCAGTTCCCTTTTATTACTTTCACTTTCTTTTCCGTTCATTCCCTTCATCGCCTCTCTTTCTCACTCTTCTCTTCCTTTCTGAGCACATGCTTTTTTCCMTTCCAAGRTTAACACGTACATTCTTCATCTTTTAATTATYTCTTGGCTTTATTGCTCCCTCGTAGACTTGTTTTCGTAAAACCGTGAAATAGACTCTAGWGGACTCCTTTTTMTTACTATTTATTYTGCACATTTTTCATGGTCTTTTCAGATTGCCAAACWTTCTTACTCTTTGATTATTACAATTTGGTTCACGGACTTAGGGAAACCACACCCCGTCTCTTCTATGAATGTCAAAAATTGGTCTCCTCTGGTATCCCATTTTCCTTTCAATATCATCCCTAGGATACCGCTCCCTTCTCAATCACTTGGCGACATAATACTTCCCTCCCTTCCCTGAGTTCTCCCCGGCCTCCATCAAGGCCCTGTCTTCCATTCCCTCCCACCCTTCTATCCTCCCTTCCTCAATCCTCTTCCTTCCATCCTCCCATTTTCTCATCCTACTGCTCCCGCCCTCCCATCCTTAAACCTCYCTCTTTTCCTTTCCTTTGTAGACAATCTTATTGACCCAGTCCTACTCACCCAGTATCATCATAGTTGGTCCATACGTCATACTAGATCCCAGTCCCCATAAAACACTATATGTGAAGTACATGACGTATATACTGTTAGAGAATGACGTCATTAGTAGACCAAGAGCTGATATGACGCCACCTACACATCCAACGATTCGACATCCAAACCGAAGCGATAAACCGCTGACTATTGGACCRCACAGAAAGTTCATTCCAAAYGCTATGGACCCTATCCATGCTGAAATGAAAAAGTGTATGATGTCACGTGATCTCTTTAATAATATTAAATTTTGAAAAATACAAAGGTATAAGGCCATTGAAAAGAGGCTGCAAAGAATATTCAATCATTCATTCGGTCAAAGGAATATAACAGATTTAAAGTGCACATGACACCTTTTAGAAAAACACTTTTATCCGAAAGGTAACACGCTGCCAACTACTTCTATGAAGAAAGAAATAGATTTTGAATTGTATTTTCTGAGTTATAGACATTTGAAAATTGAACATGCAAATGAAGTAACGTCAACTAAGGAATTGATCCAGTCTTTTTACATTGTTTGCGCTATGCTGTTCTTGGTTGAAGAGCACAAATCATCAATCATAGTAATAATTGAGAGCTGAAAATGCTTTTTCCAATGTAACAAAAAGAATAACGTACTCTTTCATGATTTTGTATACGTCACTTCATTTGCATTTTCTAAGTTTCAATTGCCTATAACTTAGAAAATACAATTTAAAATCAATTTCTTTCTTCAGAGATGTAGTTAGCAGCATTTTCGCTTTTGGATGAGAATGAATTTCTAATGGTGTGCACTTTAACGACTTTGCATTATTCTCCTCTCGCTTTTGTTACAAGAGAGATCCTGGGAACGAGCCTCGTAACGGCTAAAGTGAGATTTCCCTTGTATAAAAACWTAAATTGTTCAATTTAGCAAATGTGACATGAATGGCAGCTATGGACAACCGACATCCCATTGGAGCTTTTGTTTATGTTAAAAATCAAAAATACATTTTAATATAAGCAAAAACTTACTCAGTTTATTATCCCTTTATGCTATAGTAAATGGAGATATTATAAGAATCGACCCTCAAAACTGCTTAAAACAGACGGATGGAAATGGATTGCGAATGGTATATTTGAAGTAACTTCATTTTCCACAYATGGAAAATCTAAAACACKACCGCATTGAATGCTGGTAGACCATAGTCCTTTTAAAGCAAATTTAGGCTAATCTACATAGACTTGGTTATTAAATAATGTTTAACGGATTTCAAATTGCACGCTTATTTCTGGTCTCCTCTACAGTTCTCCCTGGTTACAAAGGAAACCTTGTTTGAAAAGGAAATCGCCTGTGGAGGAATCTACACTACTGATAAGTCAAATTTTAACCATTTCGKTGCATGATRTGATTTGTTATCCGATATCGCTGACTCTTTCTAAACGTAATATTTCCGATCAAAATAAATCCGGATTTGATTCCGTACAAAGTCTTTWTCACAGCCAAAACCAACATGAGCTATAATCTCATATCATTTTGTAATCAYTATAGCAGTTTGTTATGTTCAAACGTCKTGAATAAAGATTTTCTGCGCGTTTCTCGTAATTCTCCGTTATGTAGGCATATCTGAAGTGATGGTATTGGGAGAGAGCTTGCTTTCATGCGCTASGCTCACTGAGGTCACAAGAGTCATTACCGCTGTTCGAAAAGTGTAAAATATAGTCTTCTTACTAACTTGTGTTTATAGAAATTAATAATAATAGTGTTTTACTTTTATAAGTTACTAATYAACTAAAGATAAAATCAATTTTTAAAATTATTTAAAACTTAAGTTTTCTCCTTATTGCAAGCTATTGAATATTAATATTATTCAAATTACTGAATGAAGTCTAAAAACCYRTGAAATAGATATTRCACTAATACACCTTAGCACTCTCTAATATAATTGTTTCTCTTAGCAATTGTGTCGATTTGAAATATAGAAAATTTTGTTTCGCAGATTTATAATGACTTCACGCTTAAAAAACGAATTTTATATATCTTGTCCAAATTTGCTTTAATTTGACTAAGTTTACAAGTTTTGTTGAAGCGGTCTCTTAAGTAGAAATAACTATTTCTCCAAACCTGTAACGAATGCCGGMGCTTGGAGGTCTATCATCAAATGTATGAACAAGATCCCGAACGAGTTGTGTATTCCAAGCACAAGAAATTGCACCATAAACCCGGCTGCACAGACACACCAACCGAAGCCTCCATCAGGTACTGTCTTGACAGTCATGTCGAAGTTAGTGTAGTTTTGAGACGTGAGTGAATTTGTCTGACAGAGCCGTCARGCTCATTTTGGACTCTGATAAATGATCTTCGGTTCACCTTGGACTCCGGAAGCAAGGTTATCAATAGATCTTTCAACGCTATGGGCTCTTTGTAGCGAGTACTCTCAGCACAGGAAGCCCAACGCATCAAACTTAATGACAAAGAATTAATGGCGCCCTTGAACCGTAATTTTTTTCTTTCCGTTGTTGAGTTGGGGTAAAGGAAATAAATACTCCAATTTCGAGTTCTGGTTTGCTCTGTGTTAGCCTCAAAACCAAGTAACATATTCTTTTGTTTCATTGATAGGCCGAGAAAATGAATGGAATTTGAAAAGAAACACAATAGAATTGAATTGAAATCTCACACTTTTATTCTCACAATTAGGAATATTTTGCGCACAAATGAGGCTAACACAGAGCATTGGAGAATTCGAAACTGGATTATTCTAATATTTCAACAGTTTCGGGGTAATTTAATGCTTTTTACACCGTTTTTTTTTGGCTTAAAAGCATTAGATATTTCCGTGTTTTTCCATTCCTATTAATTCACAACCTTTCCCGTRTTAACAATCCTAAGTGCTTCTATGCTACACTTGTTTTCTAACGCTTTTATAATACTATTTTACCTGATAAGAACTCTTAGCTTGAAGACCGTGGTTCTATGCTCTCATAGAAACTCGATTTGTTGCACATCCCAACAATCAATGCACGCGTTATATAATATATCGACTACATATTAGTTTAAACTAATGAGGTTAAAATGCCGGAAACAATCCTTAGCTAATGYGTATTATATACATTATTAAAAAAAGAAAGGAAAGGGAAAAAATGGAAAGGAAAAAGAAAAAAAGAAAAAATGTCGTCTTATCGAAGAAAGGTGAGATTATTTTTGTTTGTAACCGCAAGGAAGGGGATTTCATGTACTTCGATATTCGATTCATATTTGCCTTAACATGTTACATTTTAAATKTTAGCATTCACTCGTAATCAGTGTAGGCAAACTTTTGGCACCGGATCATGATTACCCATGCTTCCTTTCGGTCTCTGCTTAAATACCAAGACCTTTTGGGCCCTAAATACGTTTCTTTTTTCAAATTATATGCTGTAGCTTTATGAATACTTAACAATTAGATCTCGAGGGCGAGTAGATTATGAGCTGATATAGCCCATGAGGCCGAAATTACCATACTATTGTTAGACAAAAATGAATGAAATATATAAATAACTTTAATGTTTTTATGCTATAAAGATACGCAAAAATACACTTTTCGCTAGTCGAGGACTATTGAAAACGACGAGGAGCGTAGACAATCAGAACGAAGGATTTGCAATAGTCAACTAGTCGGTAATCTCGTGCAAGACGAGTTGTTCAAACTCCCTTCGGACGAATACGGACTTACATGGACTATAAAGTCCAATCGTGGTCCACAAGACTTCGTGACTGTCTAATTTTAAATTAATTATCTCATTAACCTTTCATTATCCAATAATATCAAATTTTTGACTTCACAATATCAAAACGGTTTTCAACATTTGCCTTTTTTTCTCAATTCTGATATGATGGCCTATCAACACGAGTTTGCAGAGATTTTGTAACCGCAAAATTTTATTAGTTCCCGCTACAGCTTAGAGTTCAAACGTGTCCGCCACGCAAATAGGCGCTTGCTTCCCTTGTTCTCTCCAAAAGACAAAGACATGCTCGGCCATTTTACATCTTAAAATGCTATTTATTTTTTGCTAACAGCAAACATGCACGTCACATCTTCAACTGGCCTGCTTTATTAGCGAGCGATTGCGAAGTGGTCAAAAGATAGGTCGAACCAAAGGGATTCTGTTTTCCAATACAGCTGAAAGTAGCAAGTGGTTGCCAGCAAGATTATAATACTCTCAAAAATAAAACTTTTTTTCCAGGAAACTATAGAAATTTTCCAAAATAAAACACGTCTTCGAGAAGCTAAATAATCTAAGCTCGTCAAAATACTCCATTTTACAGTTCCAGGCGCCATCTTGAAAGGTAGCCGAGCCTTTGCATCAAAGCGAGACAGTAGTTGAGCTTGCAGTGATAGATACCCTGTGAATAATTGTCTTAGGTGTGAGCAAGGTATCTATTACTGCAGGCTCAACTCCTGTCTCGCTTTGATGCAAAGGCTTAGTTACCTTTCAAGATGGCGTCTGGAACTGTAAAATGGAGTATTGWGTAGCGAAAAAATAGACAAAGAAACCCAGTCACTRGAGRTGCTYGTCAGAATCTTATTTCAGTATACCTTCACAGGAAAAAATCGTATATGAACATCAATCTAGCCAAACAAACGTCGCAGGCTCCWCAAGAAAAGTACTAAATTGCGTAAACAAAACAAGAGTTGTTCATAACAAAGTTATTATTTTACTGATTTTCAATTTCCATGCAAATACATTATATGTTAGGTTTTGATATAGTTTACAAGATATGCTGTAAAACTTTCCCAGAGATGCATTGCGAGTTTATTCATCATAAAACTAAACAATGCTCCTGATCTTTAAGGCCGAATTAGACGACACAACTTTTGCCTACAACCATCGCATGTAACCTGCTTAAGTCATCCTTACAACATGGGTACAACTGTCGTAGGGATTTAAAACAATTGATTAAGGATACTTAATTGATTAAGGATAATTGATTAAGGATGGCTATGCAGATTGCATGCGATGTAGCGGCAAAAAGGTTTTGACGTCTGTCTACAGCTCAAAATATAAACAATACAACAATGTGCTATTGTTAGGGAATTCTCTGAAAAGCCTCCTGGAAACATATCTCCAAACCGCACTGGATCACTCAATTGTGTGCTGTTTGAATGGCCTGAGGCAACTTCTTCGAGGTGCGTGTGTCTTGCCAATTCTACTTCGTGCTTTCTTCATCTAAATTATCTCTGAAACTGAGAGAAAAAAACATATCCATATCATCAATTGCAATTAAGAATTAAACTAACTTCAATAGATATACACCTACTTGCAGAAACGCTGTCATACAAAATAGAACATTCGAATTTAGTAAAAAGGAATAAATTAAAACAAGACAAAAGAAAGCGTTCAGCCTTAGTGATCTTCTTTTGTCTTTTTAATTCATTCCTTTTTACTAAAATACAAATGTCCTATTTTTTATGACAACGTTTTCGCAAGTAGGTGTATACAAAAAAAGTACTTTTCTCGGTCAGTTTAAGTGTAAGAAAAGCCCTTTTTATTTTTTGAAAAAAAAAAAATGATGCTTTGCACTTTTGGACCCATGGTGCTTTGCGCTTTGGAACCACGATGCTTTGCGCTTTTGGACCCATGGTGCTTTGCGCTTTGGAACCATAATGCTTTGCGCTTTTGGAGCCATAGTGCTTTGCGCTTTGGAAAAATGATACTTTGCACGATTCGTCGTAACTTCGTGTCACAAATGTTTTGAAGGCTATTTTACTTTTTTTTCGAAGCAAAAACAAACCGACGCAAGCATCCAGGCTAACACTGGGACTTTAAAAGCATGGCCATAAAAGGACCACGGTCAATCAGCATTCAATGCGGTCGTATATTAGATTTTTGGAAAATGAGGTGACTTTGAATATCCATTCGCAATCCGTTTCCATCCGTCGATTTGAAGATTGGATCTTACAATATCTCCAATATAGAGTATAAAKAGATMATAAAGAGTAMGTTTTTGCTTATATTACGATATATTTTTATTTTCAAAMKTAAAMAAAAGCTCGAAAGGGATAYTGGTGGACCCTGTCGCTTTTATMAATGCGCTTAATGACMTTAAAAGCGTAATAAYTTGAATGGCAATATAAAATGACAATTATGATGCATACCTATTATCAATGTCCTGAAAGAGCCTTGTCTAATGGCAAACACTGGTCATCTTCATGGACGAGAGTGATTGGTTTGTTCATAGGAAGATGAAACATGTCYTCGACCTCCTCTTCTTTTATGGAACCGTAAGTCTCATGTAGAAATCTCTGYACAAATAAATAAATTAAAGAGAAAATATTATTACATAGGCGCGCGGAGATACGGATTTGTATCTTTGAGTGTTGAAAAGATCTCTTACAAGTAGTGTAGCAAAAAAATTAAAAAAATTCTTATCTCCAAGAGACCGTGCAATATTCTGTTTATCATATAATCATCAATGAAATATGCAATAGATACTTTTGTTTTGCTAATAATCTCTTGTTTAAGGTGCTTTCTGATTGGTGGAAAATCAAAGATAGATACTGTTTGCATAGCTATGTCCTTCCATTAATAAACTTACTTCGGCTGCTTCGTAAAACAACATCAAAGGTGGGAATTCTCCATCRTTTTTCTCGACCATGTTTTTCCAGTCTTCGCCAATCCACACGAAAACGTGATAGTCTGTGTCTATCAGGTAGACTATACATAGAAAAAAAGGAATTTAGGCTGTGCAAGTATTAATAGCAGGAGCTTGGTGCATGCATTCATTGGCATTCTGTGGTTGGAGCAGCAACAGCAAGAACAATAACTTGCCCACACTCAAAATAATTTATTCGAAATCATTTAAAAAAAAAAAACTGGGAATGAGCTCGCACATTTACACAAATCTCTAGTTGTTTTGATCGTCGTTTTCGTCGTTGTCGTTGTCGTTGTCGTTGTTGTTGTTGTCGTTGTTGCTGTTGTCATTGTTGCTGTTGTTGTTCTTGCTGCTGTTGCTGCTGCTGTTGTTGTTATTATTGTTGTTGTTGTTGCTGTTAGTGTTATTGTTGTTGTTGCTGTTGCTGTTGTTAATGTTGTTGTTGTTGTGCTGCTGTTGTTGTCGTTATTGTTGTTGTTTCTGCTGTTGTTATTCTTGTTTTTGTCGTTGCTATTGTCGTTGTTGTTGTGCTGCTTTTGTCCTTGTTGTTGTTGTTGTTGCTGTTGTTGTTGTTAATGTTGTTGTTGTTGCTGCTGCTGTTGTTGTTGTTGTTGTTGTGCTGCTGTTGTTGTCGTTATTGTTGTTGTTTCTGTTGTTGTTATTTTTGTTGTTGTCGTTGCTATTGTCGTTGTTGTTGGTGCTGCTGTTGTTGGTTGTTGTTGTTGTTGCTGCTGCTGTTGTTATTTTTGTTATTTTCGTTGTTGCTGTTGTTGTTGTTTTTACCGTGTTTAGAAGGCAAGTTGGACTTGGACATATTCCTGTCATCATGCGAGGCTTTACCCAGACGACCGTTGGAGTCTGTTAGACTAAAGAAGATTGAACGGCAACAAATAAACGAAGAAAAAAAAATTATCAATCAACAATCACTTTTATAAGGTAATCAAATGAATAAATAGGTCAGCTGATGTATAAATAGACTGCATAGTGGACCACAGGGATCTCAAGAGGGCCGTTACGCAGGCTATTGCATAAAGTACTCCATTTTGCAATTCGAAGCGACAGGTGCCATATTTCATCCGATGGATGGAAAAAGTGCGGGCTCTAGGTACGAGATTTTTTATTTACACATAAGACAATTATTCATATATGTGTCATTGCTTGCTTGTTTTGATACAAGGATCCAGTTATCCTCAAAGACGGCGCTAGGAGGTGTAAATGGAGTTTTGAGGAAGGAAAAACGTGCCCTGTGAACATCCGTCCCCACCCCTCCCTCCCCCGGGGGAAATTCCTCTTAGAATGAAAGTGAATCTGTTGTGGAAAAATCAAGAAAAGTTTCTGATTCAAATATGATTTATGTAATTACCAATAGAATTTCTTAAACTTCATTCCAATCTTCGCTTTCGTTTCGGAGCTCTTTAGAGAAAATAATTAAAACAATGCAAGTTAGCTGAAATTTGTCGTGCCCCTCCTCCATGGTTGCATGACGCGTGACCGAGACTAAACACGGCACCTGCGAGGAGGCCATACCTCCCATGTATCCTATTCTATGATTTCAAACCGCTATTGCCAGCGAGTGTTCCAGTCCGGGCGGTATAAAATGATTGGGTATTTACTTATTGGAGATTTCTCAAATTAACATCATTGAAATCACCAAAATCTTCCCCAAAAGTCGTCATTGGTAATAGCGAGGTGTCCGTAATAGCGAGGTGTCCGTAATAGCGAGGTGTCCGTATGGAGAGAGTTGACTGTACATATTTATTTTTGATATTAAGAATATTTCCAGCTCTCAATGTTCGTAAAATGACGCTTTAGATCCGTGCATCTCCATATTTCACCTCTAAAAGTGACGACGAACAAGCATACCCGATCATTGAGCAGGGGAGCATGGGTGGACCCGGCCAGGATTTTGTTTTTTGAGGGCTGGGTATTGGGAGTATAAGCACACAGTGCACCTCCCTAAGATTCAACCAGAGGACTCCTTCGATCACAGTGGCGGATCCAGGATCTTGTTTTCGCATTTTCCTAAAACGAACTTTTTTACTGTGCCTCTCGAACTGTAGCAAATGTAGCGTGAATGTATTTAATAAAAATTCATTGTACGATTTCATTTATCATTTATTTTATTTTTTATTGTTTTTATGCTTGAGGGGGTTCCTTGGAACCCCCCCTGGATCCGCCACTGGATCAATGAATAACAGACTCACCACACTAATTTTTCTCTTAGTYGCAGTTGGTGGGAAAAGTGTATACAGCTTGTGGTTCTTGTCAAATTTTCCTTCATCTGTTTTAATTACAATATGAGAGTCTCAACGGGGTTTTAAATTTAACCGTCAAGTGCCTCAGTCGTCGACCGTTAATGGTTAGGAACGCATAGCGACGTATAACGGGGCTACATATTGACGGGTACTTTTTTATGGATACTGATAGGGCGCCTATTAATATGTGTACTTTTGTAATCTGGTTGCATAGAGAGCCTTTTGCTATTGGTAGATATTCATGGGTACTGAGGGGTACTCATGACTTTGTTGCATCATCAGTTGATTACCTACTTATACAGCTATATATTGGTACTTATTGGCATGGATCCAAATTGATATGAGCTCTTAATGACATGGGTCTTTATTGACATGGGCATTTATTGACTAATATGTGGCCTTATTAAATGGTTCCCTTATAAAAATAGCTGTCTATTAATACCTATCAGAGATTTAACTACAGCTAGTACTTACCAACCGTGGCGTGATTAAGTTTAAGCTTTTTCTCGGTGCGGTATTTTTTCTAAGAAATTAAACAATGCAAGTGAGCACCTTCTTTGAAGACATTAAAATGGTAACTGATTTTTAAACTTCATATTTCTAATCAAACCTGTTCTTCTTCAATAAATTTCTTGGCAATTTCTCGCTCTTCTGGATTACTTTTTTGACCATTCCACTGAAAAAAAGTTTAGCTATTGAAGACCTAGCCAACTCTCGCTATTACGGACACCCTCGGGACCGTGCGTAATTTAGTATCCTCAGCAGCGAGAGTCCTTTTTTCAGTCATTTATTTGTATTTTTTCACCGGAGATTCGGTATTTCCTGTAATATGGAGGTATCCATAATAATGGGGTGTCCGTAATATTGAGGTATCCGTAATAGCAGCTAGGGTTTCCGTGTAAGTAAAGAGTTGAATGTAAGTAYAAAATAGGCAATATTCAGCGACGCCATCATTTATAGACAGTGCATTTTTTTATGGATTTTGCTGCGAAGATGATCTGTCTTTTTGCACAGAAAATATTGCGAAACAGAATCGTTTTACATTAGTTTTCCTTACGTTATTAGTGAAAAAAAAATGAATAAATAAAAAAAGAAATAAATACCTGGATGATCTCAAAATCGCTGGGATTCATTACAACAAAGACATCACCAGTAATGAGATTCCCGCGAAGAAGCTCTCTTTCAACCATCCATTGCTTCTTAAGTCTCTGTTAAACAGATTCAAACATAGTCACATGTACATATTAACACTACAAATAACACTATAAAGTCTAGGACAAGCTACCCTGGTTCCAGAGGTTTGATATTTTCTCTCTTCGCTATTGTTTTTGTTGGTGCGAAAGTGACGTATTGAAGACCGGAAGGGCGAATACGTCGCTTCGCTCCAACAAAAACAATAGCGAAGAGAGAAAATATCAAACATATGGGTATTAAAGGACAAGCGTGAAATGGTGATTTCGATCACTATATACCATAATCAAGTACATACCTTTGAAGACTCATCGGAAGGGATTTGCTGGAATAGAATGGTAATTCTAATGTGAACTCAATAATAGTCTCCTTCACGGTTCCCTGCGCCATCTTGAAAGGTAGCCGTGCCTTTGCATCGACTGAGCGAGACAACCGTTGAGCGTTCAATGATAGATGCCTGTGAATGATTGTCTGTAGGTGTGAAAGAAGATTTCTAATTATTGCACGCTCAACGGTCGTCTCGCTTCGATGCAAAGGCACGGCTACCTTTCAAGATGGCGCGGGGAACCGTGAAGAAGACTTTCCTTCAAATCATCGAGATTCATGATCAACCAGTACTGAACTCTTCATGCCGTACCCAACTCATCTCAATTCCAACGATCTCATATCGCGCTCAGCTCAACTTCATCCAAAACTTAACTGGCGACAATTCTTCATATCATCATATGCCAAACCTCATTAACAAATAATGTTTCATATCATACTCAACCTTAGTCAATAATTTTTCATATCATGCTCAACCTCAAACAATAATGTTTCATATCATACTCAACTTCGATCAAGAAATCTCTCATATTATCATTTGAGTCCTTTTTATATATCCATTATTTTTGTTTAGATTTAATTTGTTGATTAGTCGTTTAAAACAGATTATTATATCATACCCTGGTTTGACCTTTGAAAGAGCTTTTCTGAAAAGAGATTAAAGATAGAGAAACTCACTTATAATATTTCTAGTCTTTCATGAGAGTTTATTTGGACATGCAGTAAGATCTTCACAAAGGGGAAAGGCTGAAAAAATGTTCAAAAGGATAAAAAATGAGAACTGAATGCTGCTTTGTGTATTCATTTTTCCCCTTAGAACGATTTCCATTAAGAAGTATTTCCTTTTCGGTTATTGAATTAAGTCATAATAATTTCTATTTTTTTGAACACTAAAAAGAGGGGGTGACTTGACACCTTAATCCCCCTCCACGGAATCCGCGCATGTCAAGAGGCTTTCCCTTGCTCTGTGTGATTAAAAGGCAATCACGAGATGTTACCTTGTTCAGGCGATGAACTGTGTCTTCGCTGTGAAACTGCAATAATCGTGGTTTAGGTGGATCCTCCACTCTAGTCAAAATATAAACAATTAGCCATACGTCGGTTGATACCCCCTTCATCGACTCCTGTTTTTTTTTCATAGCCCGCCCCCCCCCCCCCCCCCCAAAAAAAAACAAAAAAAAAACAGAAATTTAATACTGTTTAAATATACAACCGCAGTACAGTCCAATAGTGWAAACAAAACGAACAATCAAAAAATGAACATCGGCGAAAAGAAAAAACTCGACACCGTGTAAGTAAATAGGGGAAACAGTTCTCTATACTCCGAAACTTCAGTAAGCTTTTTCACCTATTTTTACGGTGTTAAATTCATCTTTTTGCACAACTGTTTCTTTAGAAACACCGACGCAGCTCACACTAGTTTACCGCTAGCTTCAACCATTTTAACATCAGTGAACATCAAGTATAATTCCTATTAACAATAGTAGACAAACAAAAAAAATAATAACTTACTTCTCTCTCCAYATCCTTACTTCCAAGATCCTGTGATGGTTATGGAACGCATCTGTCTCGTAGTGCTGGATCTCACGATGGACCGCTGGCTTGGGATTTTTCAGCTGTAGCGGGCGAGAAAAATGTAAGACACTTTTCTTATACATTCATATGAATTGAAAGAAATTCTGACCGCGGGCGCACATTTTATTGGAAGTGCATCATGTGAATTTTTTTCCTTACTTACAAGCCTGGCGGCTCTCCCCTCCCCTCTCCCCTCCCCTATAGCCGCCAAGCGCGTTAATTTCTCATAGAATATAAGGCCTTGGTTATATGACGAACTTCTCATGTGTCGAATGCAATTCTTATGTGAATGTAAAGTGGTCAGCGGTTTGTTGTTGTGACGTCACTATTTTCAGGCTAACTTTTTGACGTCACAGTAACAAACCGCTGACCACAGCATAACCGATATTTCATGAAATACTTATTACCATTTTTGAGAGCTGATCAGCTCGAGCTACAGCCAGCTCATAGTCCTGTCGATGACAATACTTCGATACCCAAATATGGAGATTGCGAAATCCCTCCTGAAACAACAATAATAACAGAAAAAGAATCAAAAGTCCGCCATTTTGAAAATAGCGAAGAGCAGGGCCCTGGGGATGGATCAAAGAAAGGACACGACAGATACTGGTCTCGTCTCCAGGCTTTTTTTCAATCGTTTGACGTGACGTCACTTTTTATTTGGTTATACACCCTTTTAATAAGTCCCGAGGTATTACGTTCTCCGCACTTGACGTCAAATTTATTCTTTTGAATTCCTTTTGTATTGGAAAAATTTCAAAAGAATAAATTTGACGTCAAGTGCGGAGAAAACAATACCTCGGGACTTATTAAAAGGGTGTATACGAGGGCGTACTCCATCTTGAATCTGTGAGATAAGTGATAATAGACTGGGGACGAGTTTAGACCGCAGAAACCAAGCCCCTGTCACCCAGCTACGTATAAGGTAAAGTGGCTCTCAATTTGAATTGATCCGACATTTTTCAAATTGTTGTCAACTGAGTCCAATGTGAGTTTTTAATGTTTCACCTTCAATCAAATCAAATCAAACAACTTTGTTTTTTTAAGAGGGTAAACACGTGCCAGTAAAGAACTAATGAACTTGTGGTTCTCTATACTCTTACACTCACTACCTCTACATTAAGTATTTTAGCACACAACACTCC